GCTGCTTCTTCCTCAGGGATGTGTTCTGGGTCTGTATCCTGCTCCCTTGTTTCTATCATTTTATCCTGCTTTTTTATATGGACTGTGATGGTCTGTTGTTTCCGAGGCATCGTGGCATTGTTGTATTTAGATCTCTGTTAACTGTTTGTGAAGAGCAGTCAAGGGTGATTCCAGCTTTTCTTGGTTGTTTTTTATTATTGGCCCCTTGGTGGAGAAGGAGGTAGTGGCTCTTGCTCAGTAAGTGAAGTCACAGGAAGTGTGGGTGTAGTTGTATCTTATGGGGACTGTTGCCATCTTCCACTCAATTAGACACAAATTACAATTGAATAACCTTCAAAAAAACTTTTCAGTCTTGCAGGTCCGGAGGGTCCTTGGGGTTGCTGGAAAGCAGAATGTGTTCTTAAGCCCTGGGAATCTGTGAGAGCACTATCTCTTTAAATATCCAGAATAGTCAAGCTGCTTTTAGACCTTCAAAATGGCAGCATCCTCCAGACTGGCAAAAGTCCACAGCTCAGCCCACCTTTCTCTTCACCTTCTCTATTTATTCCCCAACCACCGGTGCAGTCCCTGGCTAGCAGGGCTGATTTTTAGGTTAATTCTTAAGTCCTACCAGCATTCAGGAATCTCCAAGCGGGTTGTGCCATCAGGATCACTCATGATTGCTGCCAGACCGCAGCTCCGTATGTCTCCTTTTTTGGTATTTTCATGCAAATTCTTCTGCTAGTTGGGGTTTAGTCTACTTCTATATCCTTCCCCTCAAGGTTCAGGGGTCCAGGATTATCTCTGTGTATGTGTTAATTGGTTTTGATTTTCTTTGTTGAAGAGGGTCTGTACAGTCTTTCTGCCTAGTCTGCCATCTTGTCGGAACTCTATATGCACTTGAAAACTTCAGTTTTTTAAATGAAGGATAGAGTAAGAGGGCCAGGAAAGAATTTGACTGAGCCATATGGAGCCCAGAGGATGGGATGGATGTGTTCTTTGGACAGGGATATGAAAGAAACACATGAGAAGATGCTTATGTCTATGCTGCTTCTACTGGCCTTCATGTGTCCTGGCTCTGCTAATGAAATAGAGGTTGATAAAATCATGTCTTGATCCATAAGCAGGAGCTGGGAAGAAGTAATATTGAAGCTGCTCCAGCTGCCTTTGACCAGCTTCTCAGGGTTTATTGTTTCTTCCTTATTTTTGTATCAGTTGCAAAGCAAACTGAAGGAAAGAAAACTCCAATGAAAAGGAACAAGCAAAATAAAGCAGGTCCTGCAACACCTATAATGACCAAAAAGGAAGGTCAGGTAAGCCTGAAGAAGAAGCACAGGCTTGAAGTCTCACAAAGGATACTTCTCCCATGGCTCTTGCACTCATTCCCTCATTTCAGACACTTCTTCATTAATATTCCAACACAATTCATATTTATCAAAATGAATAACTATTGATCATCTTTCTTGTGCTAGGCAATGAACTAATCACTAAAACAAGTGTGAGGAAAAAATTCTTGGACATAATTATGATATTGCCTTCTGGTTGTAAATACAGGTTGTCAATTAGATTGGAAAAAATAACCTTTCCAATGCTTAGACAAACCTTGATTTTTTTAATTTCAAGTCTAGTCCTCTTCCCATTCCATCACAGAAGTGATGAGGAGAATAATGTGTTTGTTTGAAGAAACTCTCCCTTGGTGTAAGCAACCATAGGTTCCCACCTCTTACTTACTGGTAATCTCCTCAGGTTATGTAATGGAAATCCCCAGAGTTTCCATGACATTCTTCCATATAGAAACTACTGTGTTTCATTTGATACTAAAAACAATTAGTGTGAAAAAGATATCTACTTTTCACTTCAGAAAAGAACAAACACAGTCAAGCAGGATGCTATAACCAAAAAGAAGAAAATTTCTGAGGAGGAAAGTCAGCCTCCCTGTTCCTCAGGAGCCAGCACATCTGCAGCTATGGATCACCCCCAGCTTCCCCAACTCTCATCACCAACTCGTTCCTCCACTTCCTTAAATGAGGTACTTCTTCCTGTTCCTTTCTTTCCTTAATTTTCCTCAGCTGGTAGCATAGTGCCTAAGGCACTTGACTGCTAACCAGAAGGCTGGTGGTTCAAACCCACCAGTCACTCCTTGGAAGGAAGGTTGGGCAATCTACTTCCATAGTGATACTGCCTCAGAAACCCAAGGAGGGGTCACTATGAGTCAGGTCTGACTCGACAGCACATAACAAGAAGAATAAGACTCAGTAATCAAACCTCAAAATTCTAATTTCATGTTCTACCTAAAAATAACTCCAATAATTAATGAATGCATCAAATATATACATGCAAATTTATTATCTTTCCATATTTTGTTTTCATGATGTACACTTAAGGAAGTTAGTTAGCACTATTTCTGATCTCAAAAGTTTTATGTTTTAGTTGTTGCAGGTGGGGAGTGAAAGAGGTGTAGCATCCCCAGGTGTGCAGGTGAACACAGAAGTGTACCCATTGTCTAATGCTCCAGTCTCTTTCATACCTGTTCTCTTTGCTCACTGATCCATTAACATTTCTTCAACACATCATGTTCATTTCTTCAGAGTTTTATATACCTTGTTTCTCCTGCCTGGAAATTTCTTAATTTGACCAAACCTATTCTCTCTTTCACCTTTTTATCATCCTTATTCAATCTGTATGCTGAGCAAATTGTCTGAGAAGCTGGACTATATGAAGAAAAGTGTGGCATCAGGATTGGAGGAAGACTCATTAACAACCTACAATATGCAGATGACAAAAATTTGCTTGCTGAAAGTGAGGATGACTTGAAACACTTACTGATGAAGATTAAATACTTCAGTCTGCAGCATGGATTACATCTCAGCATAAAGAAAATGAAAATCCCCACAACTGGATAAATAAGCAGCATCAGAATAAATGGAGAAAAGATTGAAATTGTTAAAAATTTCATATTACTTGGTTCCACAATCAACACAAATGGAAGCAGCAGTCAAGACATCAGAAGGCTTATTGCACTGGGAAAATCTGCTGCAAAAGATCTCTTTAAAGTGCTGCAGAGCAAAGATGTCTCTTTGAAGACTAAGGTGCACTTAACTTAAGCCATAGTATTTTCAATTGCCTCATATACATGTAAGAGCTGGACAATGAATAAGGAAGACTGGAGAAGAGGTGATGCTTTTGAGTTGTGGTGGTGGTGAAGAATACTGAAAGTACCAAGAACTGCCAAAATAATGAACAAATCTGTCCTGAAGGAAGAGGAGCTGGAATGCTGCTTGGAAGCAAGAATGGCCAGACTTCATCTCACCTATTTTGGTAATGTTGTGAGAAGGGACCATTCCCTGGAGAAGGATATCATGCTTGGTAGGGTGGAGGGTCAGTGAGAAAAGGGAAGGCCCTCTATGAGATGGATTGACACAGTGGCTGCAACAATGGGCTCAGGGATAGCAATGATTGTGAGGCTGGCATAGGACTGGGTAGTGTTTCATTCTGTTATACATAGGGTCATTATGGGCCGGAACCAATTCATTGGTACCTAACGACAACAACAACAACATCCACCCTTTAAAGAAGCTCTAGTGGTGCAGTTGTTAAGGCATTTGTTTGCTAACCAGAAGTTTGGTGGTTCAAACCCACCAGCTGTCCTACAAGAGGAAGATGAGTCAATCTACTTATGTAAAAATTTGCAGATTCACTATGAAGCAGGGAATGTACCCAAGACCATGTATAGGGTTGGCAGACAATGGTTGTATAAGAGTATTTGTATGATCTGAATTCCCAGATGTATAGTAGAGCTGAGAAGGGACAAGGTTGTAGTCACTTTTTGGTCACAGCCAGCTACGCAGACAGACCAAGTAGTTGAACCTGTGGGCTTGGGACCATAGTCACAGAGGACATTGAGCTCAATTGGCATAACATACTACACAAAACATTGTTCCACCTCCTACTCTGATGAGTAGCGACTGGGATCTTAAAAGCTTGCAAGCAGCCATCTAGATGCAACGATGGGTCTCTCTTCATCCAGAGCAAAGAAGAATGAAGAAAACCAAAGATTCATGGAAACAATTAGTCCTAGCCACTGGTGCACCATGTGATCCACAGCCTACGTGACTATGAGACCAGAACTAGACGGTGCCCAGCTACCACTGTCAACCACTTGGAGGGGGATCTATGTAGGAGATCCTGGAAAGAGAGGGAGAACAATGTGGAACAAAACTCAGAATCATTTGGAAAAAAAAAAAAAAAAAGGGGGGGAGGGTGGTACCAGGTTTGCTGGTCTGATAGAGCCTGGTGGAACTGTGGCCTGACTATGGCCTCTAGCTGCCTTTCAGGTCTGGAATTGAACCCACACCTGTGGCTTCCAGCCAAACAAAAGACAGGCATATGAGTTCAACATTTACCTGAGGTAGATACACTCCTTGGAGAGAACAGTCATGGGAGAAAGAAGGGCTGTTTATGCACAGAGAGACAGCTCAGGGGGCAGGAGTGCATGGAGGGATGGACACAGGGAAGAAGTAACTATTGGGAGGAAGTGGGAGGGTAGCTGTTGCATTGGGGTAAATTGTAGTGAATGCCATGAGACAAAGTGTATGTGAACTGCTGTACGGAAAGTGAATTTGCTCTGTAAATTTTCACCCAAATCACACACACACATACAATATTGCAGCCTCAGAAAACCTATGGGTGGCTATGATTCTGGATCAACTTGGTTGCAGTAGGTTTGGTTTGGTTTACCCACTATTTGGGACCCAATATTGATATCATTCCTCAGAGAATCCTTTCTGAGACCACACCCAAATATGTGACATCTTTGGAAGGACTTTATGTTTTACTTTTTACTACTAATGACAACTGTAGCTAATAAATGTTTATCTCTCTTTCTTGATTATGAGCTCCAAGGGTAGAGCTACTCTACTGGCCTTATGAACCAATGTAACCTAATGTTTAGTTTAGTGCCTGCCTCACTGGAGACTCTCAATAAATACATTTACTTAATGCAATGAAACCTAAATACTAAAATATGAGTCAACATAGCTAATGAAGGAAAAAAAATGTAGATCATCTAACTCAGTAAAGGAGGTGGTGTTTATATTGAAGCTTAATAGTTGCAAAAATAAACAAGGAAGATGAAAGAGGGAAAGGAGTTGAGGAGTTAGGAAAAAAAAAAAATAGGCCGAAGGAATGCCACACAAGACCATACACCAAGACCTGGAAATGAAAGGAAATGACTGCATTTTATATTTCCATTACTATTTATTCTTATTAGATTTTACTGTTTTCAGTTGTGGACTGCTAGTCTTTTACTATATCTCCCATCAGTGGCAGTCTAATAACCCACAAAAACTCCAGTGATTCTTATTCTACATGAGGAGGTTTTGAGTTTCTTTTCTTCATCTGGCTACACAGGAATGAGAAAGTTTATGGACCCATAATACCAAAAACAATGTCTCTTTCTCTCTTCCCCCCACCCTGTCTTTCTTTCTCTCTCTCTCCTGCATTCCATCTTCACAACTAAAATATGATTATTTTAAAAACTGGAAAAATATCGGCAGGCAAGCAAACAAGATTAAATTGCTTGAACTCTACCATCCAGATAGTACTAATTTTTCTTCATATTCTTTTAGATGTTTCTCTTTATAAGTAGATTCATAAGTTTCCCAAAATGGTGTCAGACAGTGATCAATATTCTATCACCTGTTTTATTAACTTAACAAACCAGGACTATATTTTCAAAATATTCCCCTTTGACATTTGGGGGTTAGGGTTTATGATGATCAACTTTCTTCATTTTCAATACTACTCAAGTTTTTCACTCTTTCAATTTTCTTTGGACATTTAAATCAATATAGGGTATATTTGAATTTATATTTATTCTTATCTGTTACTTAAATCAGTTCAAGACAATACTCTTATCATCTACCCCTCTTGGTTTCTGTAAGTAAAGATTATAATTTACTTTAGAAAGGTAATTCTGTTTAAACAAGGGTATTCTAACTTTTCTGCATATTGTCTTCTACCTTAATGCCTCTAACTAAATTATGCCAGTGAATTATCAATTCCTTCTTGCTAAGCAATCCCTTTCTAGTCTATCCCCAGGTCTGAGTATCTGTGAAGATTGCTAGGGCCTAATACTGTCATTGAGGTTACTCTCATTGGAAAATGACTATGTATTCTCACCTCAAATTTGTAAGTTTATTTTCCTAATTCTCTCAAACACAGAATCAGGAACAGCAGGCCCAATGTCAAGCATCTACCAAAAAGCATGTTCTTCAAAAGGGCCCATTGATAGTGATGGTGCTGAAAGCAACAGAGCCATTTAAATATGAGTCTACAGAAAAGGATAAAAACAGGATGTTTCATGCTACAGTGGTTACAGAGAATAAATTCTTCCAAGTGAAGGTTTTTAATACCAATCTGAAGGAGAAGTTCACCCCTAGAAATTTCATTGCCATAATAGATTATTTTGAATGCAAAGGATTACTGGAGATAAATGAAGTATCATCTGTATCTGAAGTTGGTCCTGATCACAAGTTTGAGGTCCCGACAAGAATCATCAAAAGAGCAAAAGAAACTCCCAAGATTGATAATCTTCAAAAGCAAGCATCAGGAACATTAGTGTATGGGCTGTTTAGGTTAAATAAGGTAAGCCCTTACAATTTTTTTTTCTTTGCTGATACATTAATTAAATGTCTTGACTTGCTAAGAAGAGCCTTGTCTAATAACTGAACATTGGAAACCATATTCTTTTAAAAATATTCTCTAGAACCTTGGAATTTGCCGATGATTTAACCTGAATTCCACCCAAACCACATAAATCATAATTTCAGTTTGCATTTTGATAAATTTATTTTGAATAATATATTGATCTACCAAGTTTGAAGTCTGCTTTTGAAATGTTATTGCAGTAATAAGTAGAGTGATGATTTATTAGTTATAGTTCCCAGAATGCAAATATATCGAACAGTTAGGAATATGACATAATCATTCAGTGGTATATCCTGTATATCATCATTTATTCATTTATTCATAATGAGATTAGTGATACTATTGTCTTATTCATGATTAATCTCTTATTCATGAAGAGAGTTCAATAATGAACTGAATTGCATGATATTGGAAGATAAGGTAATCTAATCTCCTCAGTTACAAAAATAGATACCAAATAAAGGTGTACACAGTTTTACTGATATGTCCATGTCAAAATTCAAGATAAAAGTTAGGGTGATATATTAAATTGACAAAAAAAAAAATCTACAAACTTAAATGAACTCAATTGGCAGATGAATGACTATTTCAAAGCCTATCATATCTATCTTCTAAGATAGCCCTTAATTTTACCTTCATATTTTCTGGACATACTCTTTAGGAGACTGTGCTTATGAATAAATCATAAATTGATTAGTAATGGCTTATGTGAGTGAAACACTATCAACTGTGAACTGAGGGATGTCAGCTAAAGGGACAAGATATTGGAGAAGATTGAGTAAATGGGGAAGATTGGAAAAAAGTTAGTGAGTTACTAGAAATTTACTAGGAGCTCTGGTTGTGTAGTGCCTAGGACATTTGACTGCTATCCAGAAGGCTGATGGTTCAAACCCACCAGCCACTCCTCAGAAGGAAGGTTGGGCAATCTACTTCTGTAGTGATACCGCCTCAGAAACTGAAGCAGGGGTTGCTATGAGTCTGATCAGACTTGATGGCAGTACACAGATTTCTCATAAACTACTAAATATTGGACAGTTGTTGCAGATGTCTATTCATTTCTGTTTAGGGACAGGAGCCAAGATGTCCTCCAAGAATTTCTGATTCTTCTATATCCAGGTGCTTTAAGCCAACTTCTGCTTCTTTGGAGATGGAAGCCAGTAAAAATAGAAAGATAACATATTTTTCCAGAAATGTCAGGCATAAAAACCTATGGAAGAGGAAAAAAACGTTTAAATAAGAGGAGGGAGCTCTGAGACTACCTAACCCTAGCTCCATATGCATTTGTACATGTAATTACTGTCTTAAATCTTGTACTTACTCTGTCATAAGGATTTTTGTCATATCATGTGGCAGTTACTATCTTCCTAGAAACTAGGTGTTAATTTTCTGTTACAGAAAAAAGTGAACATAAAGAACACAATCTATGAAATACAAGATGATACAGGAAAGATGGAAGTAGTGGGGAATGGAAAATGGCATAACATCCAATGTAAGGAAGGAGATAAGCTTAAACTCTTCTGCTTTCAACTGAGAACAATTGACTACAAGTTGAAACTGATATGTGGAATTCATAGTTTAATTAAGGTAAGAACTGGGTAGAGGAACATCAGTTGGCCAAAGAGGCAAATAATTTGCTTTAGGCTTTGGGAGCATCAGATTCTTTGTGTGTTATACATACAGTCAACAAATGGCAGAAAAATGGAAACAGTGCCCTTTTACTCATTTTTAAGTGGAGAATTAAAAAAAAAAAAAAAAAAAAAAGACATTAAGAAAATGACCTTCAAATGGACTTCCAAAGGATATGATACTTCCTTTCAGTAATAAAATATTTGTAGAAATTAGCATGCAGGGAAGTAAGGTCGCATAGTGGTCAAGAGCAAGAACATTGGAATAAGACAGAACTGATTTGAATCCTGGCTCCGAGACTTAGCTGCTTTAATGTTTCTCTCTAAAATGGGCAGTCTCTATCTGTAGGGTTGATTACAAAGGTAGATGAGATAATGCATGCACATTACTTATCTTGGTGCCTAGAACATCATGAGAAATCAATGTATGTTAGGCTCTATTTTTCTTAGCAAGGTAAAGACATTGTAAAGAATTGTAGGCAAAGAATATGACAGACAAATCCTTAAATATGCAAAAGACATAATGAGTTATCTATATCTGAAATAGGAGCTCTGGTGGTAGTGCCTAAGGCATTTGGCTGCTAACCAGAAGGCTGGTAGTTCAAACCCACCAGACACTCCTGGGAAGGAAGACTGGGGAATCAACTTCAGTAGAGATACCGTCTGGGAAACCCAACGAAGAGTCACTATGATATATCTGAAATACTGGTAGACGTGGAAAATTACAGAAAGAGCAGGAGAGTAAAAGAGGAACAAGATTGTATCGTCTTTTCTAAGAAATGAAGATATGCTGATAAATTGAAAGATTTTTATGCAGAAGTATGTCACGCCTGATCACGTCTACATTTTAGAAAAAAAAAAAAAATTCTAGCAACAACTACAGAGATTCATTAGAGAAGGAGTAGGTTTAGAGGCAGAAAGCTCAAAAAGAAGCAGTTGCGAGGTGGAGTTTCTTTGTTCCCCAAATGTAAAGAGTTTATTGTTAAATAATCCAGAATCATGGAAGCTGGTTGTGAAACAGTTGCATCTTGAAATCAGCCATGGTGGGAGTATTTAGAGCATCAAAATCTGCAAATATTACCAACCAGGAATTTGTTTAAAATTGGAGATTTCATTTACCAGGACAACACAGAACACCCTTTTGGAAATTTAGGTGAGAAGGAGAAAAACTAGGATGGCTTGGGTTAATGAAAAAAAGAATTTTTTTTTTTTTTTTATAATAGATCCTCACAATTTTTGACTAATTATGGTGATGATAGAGAGATAGATAAAAGATTCAAGGAGAATTAAGGGTTTAAAAAAACAACTGCATTAATGATGCTACTATTCATTAAGATTGAGAATGTAGGAGAAGAGCATAGTCCAAGGAATGAAATATGCTCTGCTCTGTACAGGTTAAATTTGCAGTACCTATAGATTATGCAAGACATTTCTAACCATCAATCTGGAGAAATGCAGATTTGGATATAGAGATCTGAAACAAACAAACAATACAGTTTTGCACTGAAGAGTCATGTATTTGTTAATTTTGAGTTGATTGCTAAAGGTCTGGGTTTTGGTGATACTGCCACAAATAAGTAATAATACAGTAACATGTGTTTATACTAATAGAAAACAGTGAACATCCTCCAGGCCTGGGAACTATATTCATCCTAAGAACTATTATTCAAAGATACATATTAACTATTATTCTAACAACATATATTAATAAATCTTTGCAAAAGCAATTACAAGACTATAATTATTATTTCAATTTCATAGCTGTAGATACAGATGCTCAGAAAGACTAAGTAATTTGATTTAGTTGGAACAGCTAGTAAGTGGTGAAAGTGAGATTTCAGTCCAGGTTGTTAGGCTCCAGACTTCAGATTTGGGGGCAAGCTAATGAGAAAATCAGAGACATGAATATGAAGCATGGAAAATGCTAATGTTTTGGACTGGCCTGAGATGTAGGCTAACACAAAAGGGAATTTTAAAAAGGAACATAGAGTGCCTGAAAAGTGGATGATATGTATAATAAGCAACAAAAAATCTTTATTGAGGAGGAAAGTCAACAGTGCTTATGCCAAACACAAATGATAAAGAGAGTTTCAGGGTCTCAGAATGACTTCATCTTAGAGCAAAGGACACAATTCTTCACTGAAATGTACATTCTAGCACACAAGTAAAAGATGAGGTTGACTCTACATAATATGACATTTTCCATATGCAAACAAAGACCCACACACAAAACACACAGAGCTCCACTACAGGATTGTTGATTAAAGTGTTCAAAGCTAAACTGAAATGCAAATGATTCAAATAGAAATATTGCCATATTCAGGAACACAAACAGCACATGCACATGAATTATTCCGTTTCTCACCTTCCCTAATTCAGCACACATGCATCCTACTCTAGGCAACAGCAGTTGTGCCACAAAAAATCTTAACCTTCTGCATACTCCTCCCATTGTTCTGCCCCAATTAAGACCGCCCCTCAATGCTGTACAATCTCTCTTGTCGTTCTCTTTCACCTCATGTGAATTCATTCCCTGTGGAAATGTGCTTATGCTGGGCATCAAGAAATACCTCTATTCGGGCTCAAGATAATTGGTACTCAAAAGAGAGTAATGTACACAATGAGATAGGTAAGAAAGAAGGAACAACCTTTGGGGAAGGACAGAGTGAATAATGTGGCCAATGGGAGAAAGGGCAGTGTGGGTGAAGAGCAAAAGATAAGATGAACTTCAGCTTCATCTCAATTGCTGAGCTCTCATTGTGTCTTCTTTACCTCTCCTTCTAGGTCACAAGAGTCGGAAAACCAAGAAATGATCAATGAATTTAAATTAAATCTATAATTTAAAATAACAAATTCCGTTCCCAACCAATGATGTGGCATTAGTAGTGATTTTGTTAGTTGATACTTTTATTTAAATAATAAATTCAGTAGGATAGCTCAGCCTATTGAGTCTTTATATCTAAATTGTGAATTAGATTGCTTTCTTTTACAAAATTTTCTTCTTAAATTCTTCTGTATTTTTTTTCAAAGTTACAGTTTGCATTTGTAACATCCATGAAGTAAAAGAATAAAATTTCCTGTTTTAAAGTATTTTAAAGAGTATCTATCAATATCCAGGTGTCAGATGTGTTCTCTTTAATCCAATAGTGAGTTCCTTGTTGTTGTGTATCGTTGAATTGATTTTGATTAATACTAATCCTATTTGAAGGAGCTCTGGTAGCATAGTGACTAAAAGCACTTGACTGCTATCCAGAAGGCTGGCGGTTCAAACCCACCAGCCACTCCTCGGAAGGAAGGTTGGGCAATCCTACTTCCGTAGTGATACTCCCTCGGAAACCCAAGGAGGGGTCGCTATGAGTCGGGGCCGACTCGACGGCACATAACAACAACAACAACAACAAATCCTATTTGACAGGGTAGAACTGCCCCATAGAATTTCTTTGGCTGTAATCATTACTGGAGCAAATCATCAAATCTTTTCTCCTGTGAGGCTGCTGGTGGGTTTGAACTGCTGATCTTTTAATTTGTAGATGAGCACTCAAACATGTGCCAGTAGGGATCCTTAGTCACTTGCTTGGAGTAGTTGATTTATGTGCTGTCAGTCACACAAGTTGGGGCACATAGGGTCTCATCAGCATTAAGGTTTACATTCTGAATGTGCTTTCCAGAGGATAAGGCCTTGACCAAGCCTTTGCTTAAAGTTCGTCAAGTTGGTCCCACAGTGAATACTCAAATCACCACCCTGTGCTCATTCAGAATATTTAGTCGGTGCAAAGAAGAGGTTCTTTTTTGCAATGTATCTATCATGGTCCCAGAAGGGAAACTTTTCTTAATTGTCTTCCTGGAGTAGGACCATTGGTGATTAGCACAATGATGCCATTAGGTACAAGAAACTTCCCTACCCCTACCTGGGGTGGAATGTCTCACCCCATATATATAGTAGATTATATCCTTCATAGTTATCCAATCATATTTTCTCCTCACATTTTAAGTGTGTTGATCGCAGGGTAAAATAACCCAAGTCAAAACATACATAAAACCAAAAAAAAAAAGTAAACATCATCTAAAGAAATTAACTATCTAAAATCTAACTTTAAAATACAAGTGAATACTTCTACTTCTGGTTATGGCATGGTGGCCTACTCACCACAAGAAATAAAGTAACTGAATAAAATACACGAGGTAAAAATGTTCAGGCAACACAAAGATAAGAACTCTTTGAGGAAGTAAAACCACAAGGTAAGTTCAAAGAAGGCTCCAGACCTTTGCTTGGGAAGATTTCCTGACTGTGAGCTTGTAAGCAGATGTCAAAGCAGAGCATGACTATCACTTTGGGATGAGGAAGTAGAGACTAGATTTCATGGCATCTAAGTAGTGGGAACCTGGAGAGAAGGGATCTTTATAGAGGGCAACCCCAGACATTGGCTGAGTCACTGGTTGTGAAACAACTTGAGGTTTTTCAAACAGCAGCTACTATGGGGTGGCAAACAGAAGACAGGTACAAGAAAGCAAACAGTGCTGGGGGACATTTGAAGTTCCTAGAGTAGAGAGAGATGTCTTTAGTCTCTGAGCATCTAAGAAAACAGAAATGTTGCATCTTAGGAGTAAAACTAATGCAATAAGCTAAAGACTACTCTAGAGCCTTTCTATCAAAGCCTAAAACCAAGCCTCAACATGATTCAAAGAAAAGATTGTGTGTGAGTCCTGCTAAAACAGAGGGCTTCAGGACATATCTTGGAATTTACACAAATCCATTATAACAAAGTATGAAACCAAGGCTACAGGTTTGAGTGAGGAAACAACAATTGAAATGCCTATGAGAATCACAGAAGTAACAACAAAATCAATGTAACCCTTCAAAGAATTTTAAACTATCCAAAGTCTACACAAAATATCATCAAAAATATGAAGTACACATTCTAAAATTAGTAGATCTGCAGAGAAAGAGGACATTAGGAC